CTCTGAGAAACACGCTGATCATTTCCTTCTTTTATGAAGCTGCTCCCTCAGAAATACGCGATGGGCTCTGATTGGTTAGCTAGTCCAGTGTGTTGTGATTGGCTAAACCGCCTCTAGTGCGCGTCTAATCGTCCCACCCCTCTCCTCAGCGGCATGTGCTCTGGTTGTATTGTAAACAACAGCGTCGTTAATATCGCTTATCAGTTTGAGCCCGATTGAGAAGCAGATGATATTATTGAAGAGGATCGTGCAGAACCTGTGCAAGCACGGCTTTTAATGGTAGGCCTATGTTTTTTGTTTGTTGTTGTCTCATACTTTTAGATATGCTGTTATTTGTAAGAGAGAGAGAGAGAGAGAGAGATGCAGAGCAGGGGGACGCGAGGAACTGTATTAAGAACCTCTGCTTTAGAACACTGATTTTGAAACTTGTGAATCCATTTGAATTTTTAGAAGACAGAATCGCGATTAATATATGAACAGATTTTACCTGCACCTGTAGTTTTCTCTTCCTCTTCTCTGAAGCAGCGCAGCATGGCCTCGCCCCCTTTGCTGCCTTTTCCCGAGGGCGGGGTTTATCTGGGTTTGTGATGTCACAAACCCGGGAAATAACTTGTTGTAGTCCCTACCAGCCGTTTTTGTAGGCACTAAACTGCCAGAATTTTAAAAGACGATATCTCTGTTTGCATTGAACTTTCAGCTTCGTAACTTTGCAGATATAGTTTATGCTCAAACAGCAACATTACACACTAACTAAAGCTAAAAAAGTGAAATCGCAATGAACCACCCCTTTAATAAACTTTTAACTAACTTTAATGTTTAATAATTAATATTTTTATTCATTTACAATGTATGGTTCAGTACTGTTTTTTTTTTTTAATAGTAAATCACTATTTTAGTTTTAATTCAGCATCACTTTTAAAAACTATCGGTTGATTAATCGTATCAGCCAGTATGGTCCAACATAACTATCAGAATCTATCGAAGACTATCGGAAGTAAAATCCACTATCGGTCGCCCTTTATTGTATATACACACACAATCACCAAACTATTTGCTATATAAAGACATAGTGAAGTAATGACATTCTTAGCAGAAAGTGAAGTCACAACCCCTTTATATGTGTTGTAATCTAATCTTTTCTTTCCAGTGTATTGGCAGCTGGGACAGGCGGGTGTGCATGTGAGCCCCTCCTTTTGAAACTTACACTAACTTCAGCTGCTGGATCAAAATCTGACTGTGATTCTGACTGAGATCACAAAAACTATAAAATGCTACACTTTCTGAAAGAAAACATCTTGGCCATGTTTTTTATATTATAATTATAGCATATTTATATTATATTATATTATATAGCATACTTATATTATATCATAGCATGAAGGAAGGGCAGAGGTGTGGCCGAAGCACATGTTTGTTTTGGTCTGAGATGCTTGTGCTCCTGTGCGATATCCAGTGGTTTCAAATCATATTTAGCACCCTTAAAAAGCAGCTTGGACAAAATTCATCCTTTTGAATTGCAGAGAAGAAATTAAGTCATACAGGTCTAGAACAACATGAGGATCAGTAAATTATACAACTTTCATTTTTGGGAGCATTATTGAATGACAAAGTATTACCAATCTGTACAACTCCTGTATATTTGTGCCTTTTAAGATACTCCAGAGTGCCTTTCATGGCAAAGAACTCACACATTTGATCAATTCATGAATTCCCTGGGAACAGACAACTTGACTTTGGCTTTGCAAGCACCATGCTCTGCTGTTTGAGCTATGGGTAGGCTCAGCTTCCAGAGTATCAGGACTCTATTAGAAAATAGACATGGAAAAAAGTTACTGTTACACACCTCAGTATCTCCAGCTGACAGTTTGGACTCTTCAGTCCATCAGAGAGCAGCTTCACTCCTGAATCCTGCAGGTCATTGTTACTCAGATCCAGCTCTCTCAGGACAGAGTCTGAGGATTGTAGAGCTGAAGCCACAATTTCACATGACTGACTAGTGAGATTACAGCTGGACAATCTGAATGAGAGCCAAATACAAGTTTCAGTGAGTGTAATGCATAGCTATGTATATCAAATTTAATGCAAAATGTAACAAAATGGGCTGAAAAAATTAAAAGGCAAAACAAATAGAGGTGCCACTGAATACAACATTTCAAAATTATTTGGTCTGTCTCAGTGGTGTCCAACTGGTAGATCGCAATCGCAATGACAATCCCTTTCAGTTGAGCATAAGTTGATTTGGCAAAATTATTAAAAGAGCCATAACCTACATTTTATAATAATTTTATTTATTTTCAATAAGATCCACAAATGATTTTAATTAGGGGTGTGCGATATCACGATTTAAGGTCGTAAACAATTAAAATTCCTCCACGATCTGCCTTTGAAGAAAGATCATAGTATCGTGCTACAAGTGCATATTCTATCAGTTGCAGTTCTGCTGCAACCTTCTCAACACACTTATAAAATCATGCCAGTTAAATTTTTTATTGCACACTGTTCTGACATATACTTTTCTAAGCGTGTACACCAGTGTGAGTACTGAAATCCTTTGCATCATTTTCACAACGTATTGTGCTTAAACTGTGAAATACACATAAGGTTTAGTTAAACACAGTTGATTATATCTTGAATGAATGTATGAATGATGCATTTATAATGAATGATGCATTTATATAAACAGTTCGGATCTGTCATTACATTATATCCATGAATTAACTTTTAAAGTGACAGCCACCTAATAAAAATAACTTACTGCTGTTGACTAAATAACTTCAGTAACTTTAAAAAGAATCAGTATATATTTAATTAATGCAGTGAAGTCTATGTCCTGTTTTTTTACATTTGTTTATTCAGATTATTACTTGAATGCTACTGTTAAATGTACCTACTGTAGCTAAAAATATTAAAGCATTTGTATCAGGGTTGTTACACCTTTTCCAATGTCAAATTCAAGCATTTTCAAGGTGAATTTTACAAGCTTTTTCAGTGCAATTACATGTTTACACACATACTTGAGTTCTTCACTTTAAATCAGATGTTATTGTGTTATTAAAAACAACTTGTCTGGATTGCATATAACATTGCATAGTATTGACAACAAATTGCCATCATATAGAATAAAAATGTATATATATATATATATATATATATATACATATATAGGTTTAGGGTAGCATATTAAACCATAAAATGTCTGCAAAAACATTTGTATTTGTTACCACCTGTGTTTGCAGTTCAAATACAGGTTTCCACAAACAGAAAAGGTTTTATAAAGTTACAAACCTCACATTTCAGCATTTATTTATTTATTTTTCTAAGAAAAGGGATGAGTCAAACGTATAAATAATTATTTTAATTTAAAACACAAACATATCTTAAAGGGGTCATATGATGTTGCTAAAAAGAACATTAT